TTATCTCTGCAACAAGGAGCTAATATTACCCGATAATATCAGCAATGCTTAAATAATGTCCTGTTGTTTTATGAGCCAGATCGCATTCGAATTGAATTACTCAAATCCATATTTATTGCCGCAGGGAGTCTGCAACCTGCCAATCACCCAAAGGAATGTACTTCTATACTTGTGAGGACTCTGACTGGCAAATATATTGCCTTAACATATAAAGTTCACCTCAAAACTGAGTCTTAACCATAGGTCTTAACCCCCAAACAAGCCATTGAAGAAGGGAAGACCAGACATAATCTCCTCAGACTCCATGTTTAAAACTTAAATGAGTCTTCTCAAAGAGCCCACAAAACACTCTCTTCCGTCTTTGTGTTTCCCTGCTCCTATTTCTGGAGTCCCTGCGTTTGAATGGTGTGAATGTTGGAGGGAAAGTGTCACTAGAGAGAGCGCGAGAGAGAACTCTGCAAGCCTCAAACCACAATACAATACACACACACACGCACGCACGCACACGCGCGCGCACACACACTGGCTCTGCTCTGTCTGTCATTCGATAGTGGTGAGAGCGACAGTGGCTTTAAGAGAGACAAAGAGTTTCAAAGTGAAGCCGAAATAATGGGACGCAAAACCCCAAAACACACACACACACACACACACACACACACACACACACACACACACACACACACACACACACACACACACACACACACACATACTCTGTGCAGTAAAATTAGGGACTTTAGGAAGTTTCAGTGACACGACTATTTAGTTTTGAGTCTTTCTCATGAAATACTTAATGTTCAGAGAAGTTGACTTCTTCTGTGTTTATTATTCAGAGACTGATCCTATATTTGCTTTTCCTGAAAACTATGTTTATATTTAAATCTGAAGTCAATATTCTGTGAATGCTGCAGTCTCTTTTGAAGAGACAATTTCATAACATGTACAATTGATGTGCACTTTAAGAGCAGTTGTATATACTATAGGTAGGATGTTTAACACCATAAATTATAAGAATTGTTTAATTTCTATTAAATATTTGTATTTATGATGAATAGTCTTCAAGTATCAAATCCAATTTCTTCAAATTGTATTTGTATTAAATGAAGTGTTATCGGGGGACCAATGCCAATATCCATCTTAACGGCCCGTCCACACGGCGGCGTGCGTTGAAGCTTCAACACTTCTTCCCATTCACGTTGAATGGGGTGACGTCCCGCTTTGCCGAACTGCATTGTGGTTCCGTCGCTTCGCTTTGCTCTCGTTGCTCGCTTCTAAAGTTGAGAAGTTCTACTTATGAAGCTCCGACAGAAGCGTCAGCCAATCAAATCATATGCCAGTACAAGCGCTAGCCAATCAAACCGCGTGCTTGTGTCTCCGGGGCGGGAGATTCATGTGATTGGTTGTTGGTCGAGTTTCAGACACGCCCACCGGCAAGCTTCAACGCACGCCGCCGTGTGGACGCTGCGTAACAGTTTTTTGTAGGTTTGGGCATATTTCACAATTTTACGACATTAGATTTTCCAAGTTTTATCCAATAAGTATCCAACATATAAACATAGAACAACTGCAAATCTTAGAATTTTAATAAAAGTTTGTTGTTTTGAAATGATAAAACCTTCAACAAAATCGATCAAAATGTATTAATTTTCCCTCTTTCTGTCTTTTTGTGCAGAGATCCTACACATTGATCGTGGAAGCCTTGGACTTCAACAACGACTCGTCCTCCGGCAGTGAGTATCTTCATCATTATCCTCTTCATCATCCTTCCTTCTTCACTCCTCTCTGCTCCACTGACACAAACATGACCTTTAACCTGAGAGCTTGAATCCATAAAGATGCCACTTCTGTGTGAAAACTAACGGACTCCAAATCGGCTTCGGTGTGTTTGTTCAAACGTTGAAAGAAAACTTCAAATGGTCATTTCACGTACAGGATAGAAAATAATATCACCTATGAAATCCTAGGCCTAGCACAGGACTTTGATTAATGTGCTTTAGGCCAACAGTGGTAGAGAATGATATATACCTGGGTGACATATTAGCAAATATATTAAATATTGAGCAGAGGCGATAACCAATTTATTTACAAAAAAACTAAAAATTGTATCTAAAGAAAATGTATTCACAATTTGTTGTGATGTTATGAGGCATTAAGGCATAGATTATTTTTGCAAGCCCCTGAATTACTAGACGCCATACTGTAATATTAACTGTCAATTTTCTGGGACTTCATTTCTTCCAGGGTGTCCACGGGGTCTTAAAAAGTATTAAAAGATCAATTTAGCCAAAATGAAGGCTATTAAAAAGTATTAAACTGCATTTTCCAAGGTATTACATTTTGTAGCTTGTTTTCAATAAGTATATAAATTGTCCAAAGAGGTTGTATTCTACAGTGTGCCTGAATGTAATCATTGCGTAGGTGTGTAGTGTGATTCTGTGTAGTTTATTTATGGCATCCCGTTGGATTTGACGTCATCTGAACAGGACATCTCACGCTCACTGCTTGATAGCGCGCGAAGGTCCGTTTACGCCTGTTGTTAAACAACATCGTTATGGGGAAATGCAAGTCTGCGTCCAAATGGTTGGAAGATAAGGAGGAAGGACAATCAATACTGTATTTAGTCAATGTGAGGTTAAGTGTGTCGCCAATTGTGCATAAAGTATGCTTTGGTATTAGACTAAAGATTGGATGAAATAACCAATTTAAATATTTACCTCTGGTTTCTGGGACATTATTTCTTGGCAGAACTATTTATCAATCAATTACGTAATTAATCAAATTTTGGTTTAAACTGCTTCTTAAATGTGCCTTATCTATTTTGTTTTCTCAGCAGACGAAAACTGCGTGGACCACTTCAGCTGGTGTCACCTGGTTCCCCAGCACGGCGTGTGTAACCACAAGTTCTACGGACAGCAGTGCTGCAAGTCCTGTGCCAGCAAGAGCCAGTAAAGCTCCGTTACCTCTGTGGCTTCAGGCCTCGGAGGAATACACCACCACAGAGGCCCGTTGGGGGCGATTACTCACAACAACACACAGAACTGTGCTCCACACTTGTGTGTTTTCTTCCTGGAGTACTTGACTAATACATTTCAAAAAAGAAGAGAAAGAGAGAAATCATGGACCATGAGTCCATGGCATGAACTGTCAAAGTCATAATTTCAATGACCACATTGTAACTGGAAAGACAACGCAAAAAAAATACTTGTTGTAATATATATATATATATATATATATATATATATATATATATATATATATATATATGTTGTTGTTTTGTTGAGTGTTCTCCTTTTGGAAACCTCTAAAGCTACAAGCATCAAGAGAACAGGAAAGCGACAATAGCGTTTAGCCTGCTACATGTTGTATTTTTAAAGCATCTGGTTTTCAAAAGCCCTTTATTTAAGTTATTATGGTCCGTAAATATTATGATTTGCATTTTTGTCAGGTGTACAGTGGATCTGTGACATGTTATTTCGATGTTTGGATATACATAGGAATTGTGCCAGTCACCTTGGATCCAGTTTTTAATGAGATTTTATTTGAGGCATGGTCCATATGCCTTCTGCAACTTCTTCTCCCTCCTCTGCTTAAGTTTACTGCTGCTGAATCATATTGGACAAGCTGAGAATCACTTTTTCCTGTCATTCCATCTGTTAAGCTATGGAAAATATCTGGTATCGTCAACTTTTATCCAGGTCACGTGTAAGTGGTCGCTCTGCTGGTTCGGTTATGGTATACAACTTGATAATCTACTTTGTCCTTTTCCTTTTCTTTCGATGGATCACAGCAGCATTGGGCCCCAGCCGCGGAATTTGACATCACAAAGAAACTTACAATAAGCACAATAAACATAAAGTGCTACTGCAAATAGGTTTCTATCTGCTTTTTAATTATCGACAATGTATAGTTTATGGTCAGGGCGGGGTTTTTTCAATTAACGAGGTAGCCATTCCACTATTTTTTAGCCATGTGGCAAAACATAGCCATACGATAGGAACAGGAATCATATTTTATTCAGTCAGACCAAGGTTGGACATTTTTCTTGCATCTCAGCAGCTCTGCTTGCCAAATAGAAGAACACAGACAAACAGCAAGACCGTAGATTCACCTGAAGAAGAAGATGATCAAGACCCTCATAACATACATTTCATCTGGATTATCCCACTGAAATAATATAATGGAGGATTGGAGTGGACGCACAAAGGAGTACTCCAGTCCAACCTATTAATTGTGAGATCTCCGATATGATGGTAAGAATACACTATTCCCTGCTGACATGGTTTGGGGTCAGAGATCATGTTGTTGGACGAGGATACATGGGCCCAACTCCCGCAGTGAAGGAATAACAACCAAATTGACCAATTCATAAAAATGCACATGTTGGAGTGTATGTTTAAAAAAAAATGTCCTGGGTGTGAATGACTAGATCAAATCACAGCATGGGAGGCCAGTGCCACGTTTCTTAAAGGGATGATGTGGAAACAAGGGTAAAGAAGGGAGAGGAGAGGATGATGCAGAGCTTGCGTGGGGTGCAGTCTAGATAGTGCGAGGTTCGGTTTTGGTTGAGAGAGACAGTGTAGTTTGCTCTTCACAGTGTGAAGGAGTTTGCCTGGAGGAATTCAGAAGAGCATGACAATGCCACTTTTAAAACAGACTCGCAGAAAATTGGCTTAAAGGCTTTAACTTGACTCATCCACACCAACAACCTGGTCGATAGCAAATATTACAAATCGGAAGAAATCTTTAGAATATTCTTCATGTTCCAAGCAACAATGTTGTCGGTACCAAAATGTGTCACAGCAAGTGGATCAGGGTGGACCCAAATGCAGGGAACAGGAACTTTTAGCCTTCATCTTCAGCCTTTTTCCCAGCGGCAGAGAGCACAGCACTTCAGATAACGGCAACAAACAAGAACCTAACAAAAACCAGGAACTTAACAGCAAGCAGAACTGAGAAGAGTGAAGTGCAGGGTGTTCAGAGGTGCAGTCATTGGCAGGGCTGATGGGGGAACAGGTGAAATAAAAAGGCCAGGACTGACAATCACAGAAAGGCAGGAAAACAGACCAAGGACAGGAAGTAAAAACGAGATATGAGCAAAAATGTAACGCAAAAGCCACCTCATAATTGGGCTTTTTGTCCAATGTTTAAGAACGTTCGATAACTTTTTTTCCCCCCTCATAAACTTTCTAACATAAAGCGTGTTTCCCAAGACAGTGTTTTCGTACGGCTGATTATGCCACCCCTTTCTCCTCTCAGGCGGCCGCGGGGGCAGCGATTGCTCTTTAATCAAGCCGTCGCAAGGATCATGGCGGCGCCGGAGTCCCCCCATACGTCTCCGGGCTGCATGCTGTTTACCGGGCACAGCTGTGAGCCAGAAACAACACAGGGCTGGGAACCACGCAAACACAAACATCATGTCGGCTAAGGCTACACATACAGCAATATACACGTGTTCACTGAGCTCAGGATGGCCTGTGAAGGAAGGTAATGTGTGTGGTGAGAGATGCTTAGAGGAATTTAGCGTGCATTGGCATCTTTTCCATGCATGATGTGTGTTGTGTGTGTGTGTGGTGTGTGTGTGTGTGTGTGTGTGTGTGGTGTGTGTGTGTGTGTGTGTGTGTGTGTGTGTTGTTGTGTGTGTGTGTGTGTGTGTGTGTGTGTGTGTGTGTGTGTGTGTGTGTGTGTGTGTGTGTGTGTGTTGTGGTGTGTGTGTGTGTGTGTGTACAATACGATAAAAATGGTATGTTCCTTATGCTGCTTATCTCTGCGTGGAGGCAGGCAATTTTACTGCTTAGGCCTTACACTATTGCTTTGTTTTTCCAGATGGGACTCCGATATCCCTCAAACCATATTGGTTCATAATGACATATTTTGATTATTACAAAGCAGGCCAGCCGCACATCCAACACGGCAAGCATTACTGCAGGCAAGAGAGAGCCAAGACTGGAATAAAGAGTGACAAAGGAGGTTACTATCTTACACAGGCTCGGCACCCTCTACCTGGACTCTATGGGTACTACCTCTCAACCCATACTATGCAAGGCATTCACCTACTGAGATATCCATA